GCTCATCAATGGATACTTTTCTATCCCAGGAGGCCATGGGAAAGGATACGTCATAATTAAACAGCCACGAGAACAGCCACGAGGGTGTTTTCAAATGTGAGTATTAGAAACCAAAAACACGGTTTCTTATGTTAAAATAACATTTGTTGAACTACTGTAGAGTAAACAAACTATTTTCCTGTTTGAGACTGTAAAGCTGCTTTGACACAATCTGTATTGTATAAAGCGCTATATAAATAAAGGTGACTTGACTTGACTTAAACGGTTAAATTGATGAAGGTGTAAAGACGCTAAATAGTATAGTATATTTGTGATTTTGCTGTAAAAACATGTTTTATCATGTATAGAGAACAGAGGAGCTCCAGTTAGCACATGTACGTCTCCAAAGTATATTTACATAAACCATATACATATTAAAGATGCTTACTAAATGTCTATTTAACATCTGACAAGAAAATCTTTAAGTTTTGCAGATGAGCACATCACAACGTGAAACAGACATCTGAGTGAGTGATGTATGTGTGCTACAGGGACAGATGAGACACGTGTACATATCCGGTGCAGAGATGAAGGAATGCTGCCATCAAAGGCTTTGAGTGAGTACACTACAGAAATTAATTTTAAAAAATTAAATCTTAAGTTGTAGTTTATTTTAATTATTGTAATTTCAAACAGAGTTATTACAGCACTTTTCTTATTCTTGATTTTTGTGCATTTGCTGCATTTCTTTTGTGGTGGAGAAGGACCTGCAAGGCAAGGTGATGACGGCATTTGTGGAAAAAAACGCAAAACCTGACAAAATATAAAGTAAGATCATTTTGTTACTTCTAATACAGAAATCAAATGACATCGTGCTGTTAAAATGACTGCTTTTGTATTATATTTGTGCATTTTTGTAGGATCTGAAATGTCCGCAGACTGGTGTGTACAGTGAAAATGGAGAGTCCACAGCAGCATCCTGGAAATGGTCAAGTGCCATGGATGAGACCCTCCATCACTCCACCTGCCCTTGTTGCCTCATCTGGGCCAGATGTTGCTGTAGTCTCTTCATTCTCAGTGAGCTCAGAGCCAGTGAGAGCTAGGGCTGTGACGGTGGCAGATTTTTACTACCATTATCTTTGACTAATATTTAAATTTGTTTGATGATCTGAAACATTAAAGTGTGACAAACATGCAAAAAAATAAGAAATCAGGAAGGGGGCCAACACTTTTTCACACCACTGTATATAATTAATATTAGTTATATATGTAATTTATGTATAAAAATTAAATACGCCCTGTCTACCAGACGCGAACGGCGCGCCGCGACACGACAAAATACTATCATTATAATCAGTGATGCTACACTGGATGCGGCGCGACACATGACATGACAAATCCCCGACAGTAAACTGCCTCGTCCTGTTTATGAGGTACTGACACAAAGTTCAAATGTCCTGTCACTGTGTAGAGACTCAACCTGTTGCGACACGGCGGTGTCGCGTCCGATGTAGACACGGTTCACTGTTCCGCCGCCAAGCAAGCGGGCGCATTAACTCTTCGTCTGCACGCGCTCTCTTTGAAATAGGAATCGTTGCCACATTTCTTGTTAACATCTTCAATTTATCGCTGTCTCGTTTGTATTTGGCCAGTTTGGAGAAAGCCTCACCAAACCTGACCAGCCAGGCGTTTGCGATCATGGGAACTTGAAGACACTTGTACAAACGCAGATGGGTGACATGAATGGAGATGGCTCAAGATCGACCATGTAGTATTTGGTTTCCCAACAAGGTCCATCGCCCAACACAAAATTAATTTGCTGAATGCAGAATAAACTGTATTTTCCTGCGCTCAAACCTGCCAATCTAAAGGAAACGCTGTGTATGGCGTTTGAGGTAATTTGTAAATTAGGCTACCATAGACTTATAGTCTAAATAAAATTTGTATTATGCTTATTATAGAGTGCGTGACGTCACGTGCACTATTGCCGGTGGCAGGGCCGGTGTAACAACGAAACATGCTACCTATCAGATTGTGCTACCAAAAATATATTTGCAGATTTAATGCAGTTTCAGTTGAATTCCTACCCTGCACATTCCTCAATCACATGCACACAGCACACTTACTGCAGGGCCATTGAGGACACATCCCCTACATGCACTGTGCATTCCTCCATAACATGCACAGATAAGTTCTTGAATCCTGAACACAAAATGATGTCAAAATGTCAATTTTGGTGAATATTCACGTAAATTACATGAATATTACACAAATTTATGTTTAGAACTTTCTTGTGCTGTGTGTAAGCTATTGCGCGACAAAATTATACCAGTGTAAAAACAAATACACTGACTGAGCAAACATTTAGGTGAGAAGATTAAAAAAAATGTCCAAAAAATGACCCTCCACCACACACAATCCCCCCCAGTCACCTAAAGGGGGAATTCCTCCTCATTTTCCAGGCTTCCATTCAAGTAAGTTCTGATATTACTTGGGTAAATATATTTGATGTATGGTATTCAAGTTTAACTAGCAAATACCAAAATGTGTTTATACAGTCACTAAATCAGATATGAAAAATGTAAGCTAGTTAGCACTATTTCATTGAAAATTTATGAGGCAAGGTATCATGTGCTAGCTAGCTCAAGCTGTGATGCTCTTCCTTGTACCTTCTGCTAGCCAGTTTTCTGTTATCATACAGAAGTACAAATGATGGAAGAGATGTGTTTTTAGCCGATTCTTGAAGATGGCTAAGGACTCAGCTGCTCTGATTGAGTTGGGCAGGTCATTCCACCAAGAGGGAACAGTTAATGTAAAAGTCTGTGAAAGTGATTTTGTGCCTATTTGGGATGGCACAATAAAGCGACGTTCACTTGCAGAACGCAAGCTTCTAGAGGGCACTTAAGTCTGAAGTAATGAATTTAGGTAAAAGGGTGCAGTGCCAGTGGTGGTTTTGTAGGCAAACATTAATGTCTTGAATTTTATGCGAGCAGCTATTGGTAGCCAGTGCAAATTGATAAACAGAAGTGTGACGTGCATTATTTTCGGCTCATTAAAAATTAATCTTGCTGCCGCATTCTTGTGAGGAGTTGTGAAGCATGTTCCGAAAGAAAGGGCCTGATCTTCATTTGTTGAATAAAGCAAATCTTCAGGACCGGGCAGTTTTAGCAATGTGGTCTGAGAAAGTCAGCTGATCATCAATTATAACTCCAAGGTTTCTGGCTGTTTTTGAAGGAGTCATGGTTGATGTGCCTAACTGGATGGTGTAATTGTGATGAAACAATGGGTTTGATGGAACCACAAGCAGTTCTGTCTTGGCATGGTTGAGTTGAAGGTGATGGTCCTTCATCCAGCAAGAAATGTCTGTTAGACAAGCTGAGATGCGAGCAGCTATCGTCGGATCATCAGGATGGAATTAGAGGTAGAGTTGAGTGTCATCAGCATAGCAGTGATATGAAAAGCCATGTTTCTGAATGACAAAACCTCGTGATGCCATGTAGACAGCGAAGAGAAGTGGTCCAAGAACTGAGCCCTGAGGCACTCCAGTAGTTAGATGTTGCGACTTGGACACCTCACCTCTCCAAGATACCTTGAAGGACCTATCTGAGGGGTGAGACTCAGTTCTTGAGATGCCCTTTGCCATTATTTTTAATGTTTTTAAAGAAATCTCTTATGCTCATCAAGCCTGCATTTATTTGATCAAAATACAGAACAAAATAGTAACATTTTGAAGTATTATTACAACTTAAAATAATGATTTTCTGTTTTAATGTACTTTAAAATATAATGTATTTCTGAGATGCAAAACAGAATTTTCATCAGCCATTACTCCAGTCTTCGTTGTCACATGATCCTTCAGAAATCATTCTAATACACTGATTTATTTTCAATTTTGGAAACAGTTGTGCTGCTTAATAGTTTTTTTTATAACCTGTTATACGTTTTTCAGGATTCTTTGATGAATAAAACGTTAAAAAAAGAACAGCATTTATTTAAAATAGAAATATTTTTTAACAGTACACTACCATTCAAAAGTTTGGGGTCAGTAATTTTTTTTAAATAAATTAATACTTTAATTCAGCAAGGATGTGTTAAATAGATAAAAAGTGACAGTAAAGACTTATATTGTTAGAAAAGATTTCAATTTTGAATAAATGCTGTTCTTTTAAAGTTTTTATTCATCAATTAATCCTGAAAAAAATTCACAGGTTCCAAAAAAATCCAAAAATGTCATTTTTAAAATTTGTATTACTTTGCATGCATGTCAGCTTATGACCAAACAAAATGTTTATATTTATGTTTGTATATGATGCAGTTTCTATAAATTTCCCCAAGTTTTCAATTAATTCCCATAAATTCCTGTTAAGTTTCCAACTTGAAATATTTCCAAAATTCCCCAGGTTACATTCCCATGGAAAGTTTCTGGAAAATTTCCACCCCTTTGCAACCCTATACAATAAGATATTCCCAATGCTGCTGCACTTCTAATGTTAGTTCATGTTTATTTTGAATAAATGGAAAACATTCAAATCTTTCAGCAATGTTTGATATGCAAAGTGCCTTTTTCTTTGCCTTCTCTTTCGCCTATGCAAAAGTGCTGATTGCTGATGATCAGTGTTGGGCAGTAACTAGTTACTAGTAACTTAGTTACTGTAATAATATTATTTTTTGCAGTAACTAGTAGTGTAACTAATTACTAATAAGATTTCAGTAATAATATTACAGTTACCATCCATAAAACAGCTTAGTTACTTTTAATGCCTCGACCCCGCTGATTTAAAATCCAACACTCCTAGATTTATTGTCATAATTTTCATGACTCGCACATGCATGTGATGTCCCCAGTGCAGCAGGAAAGCTTGGAATATGGTGATATGATGATGAGGCAGAAATATGTTGTAACATTCTAGAAGAATTTTATGTGGAAGATACATGGTTACAACTTCTGTGGGGCGTGAAGAAAAAGTAATGTAACTAGTAACCAGAAAATAATAAGTAAAGTAACTATATTACTTTTAAAAGGAGTAACTAGTAATGAGTAATATATTACATTCTTTGAGTAACTAGCCCAACACTGCTGATGACTGAGCATGAACCAGCATTTGGGATCAGTTGGTTACTCTTTATGGCAGTGTGGTGAGAGAAAAAAAAAAATCAGAAAATCTGTTCAAGCTGTTATAGTATAACAATAATGCTTGACTGTTTTATCTCTCATTGATTCCATTTAATTATAAAACTGTTTTCCTGCAGTTTTATGCATTGCATCCAAATAACCTTCGAGAGCAGTAGTACAAATGCTGATGTATAGCTAATGAATAAATATTTGGCCACAGGTTTTGTTAGTCAATTAAAAACTTAAGTTACATTGTCATGCCTGGTAGGTGATTTCATACTAATTCCAAATAAAGTGCATACATGTTACAGTTCACAGCTGTTATGGGTTTGGACGAACTGCAGCATAGTTTTTAATAACTTGAGAAAAGCGAATGATTTTGACTTCATTTGTGTGAGGTTTGAAGTCCTGCCACAGATATTCTGGTGAGAGCACCTTGCTGGGTTTGTTATAAAGGAAGTACTTGTTCAAATGGGACTCCTCCTGCCATGCTGCCTCAATGGATTTAGCTGCATCAATGTCCAGTTGCTCCCGGCAGGTTTTAGCAACCTCATGCACATCTTTCACTAAGCCACCGACCACAGCTCCACCATAATAATAATCACCCTCAGCATGAGGAATGAATGCTTGAGACACGGGTCTGCGCTCATATGGGAACTGTTCACGTGGTGTTTGATAGTAACCAGGATGTAGCACACCTACAAGACGACCCAAAGACTCTGCCCCCCATCGCCCGTAGAACTTTGTGTCCACATCAAGGCTGAAAACATAGTCAGCTTCATTGACCAATCGACTTTCAATCAGTTTCTCCAGCTTTTCCATCCTGCGCAAAGTGATCTCCTGCCATCTGTTAGAACTAGGGACTTTCAACACCGTCAGCTGACGTTGTTCACCCAGGTTCACTTCAGGAACCTGCTCTGGTTGATCAGTGAAGAGATAATAATGCACACGAAATCCAACAAAGTAATTCTGCTCTGCAGACTCCAGGAAATCTTTAAGAAACTGTGTGTATCTGGAAAAAAAAGGAAGAGGGACTGAAATGTAAAGTAATAAAAAAGCGGCAAAACATTTTAATTGCCCCCCCACTTTTGGCAATTTATTCACCATAAGAAGACCATAAGACGAACCACAATATACTGTACATTTGAGACTATACAAAACACTAGATCAGGGTTGTCCAGTTCTGCTCCTGAAGGGCCACTCCCCTCAGAGTTTAGATCTAACACGCATGCCTTTTGTAACGTCGGGATGAACTCAGACATGAGGAAAAGCAGGATATTCAAGAAAGCAGGGTTAACTTACCATCAGCGATGGGCAGTATTTCAGATACATGTATTAAAAATACGTATTTGAAATACAAAATACTATTTTGTATTTTAAAGCATTTGGAAAAAATCAAATGTAATTTGTATTTAAATACATTTAAGATTAGTATTTTTGTATTTTCAAAATACATAAAATACTTTGTGCCAGTCAACCTCTTTATCAGGGTGCTGATTTTGTCCATCAACTAGTTCAGACACGCACCCTACCTCCAACCTAAGTACCTCTAAGTACACTACTTAAACCCACACAAAAGAATCAAAGAATCGTGTGAAACCCAGTAAACTTGAGATTATGACTTGTGACATTAGAACAAAACATACTGTATGAATATGATAACGTATGTATAACACTAAATTGAACCATACTGATTGAACAATACTGATTATTGATTACAAATACTGTTAGCTAATTATGAGTTGTTGTTGGGAACAGTGTTTTCTCCCCTCCCTTTTCTCTCTTTTTACTTTCGCTTTCAGCAGGGCGACGAGAGTACCTGATTGGTTTGTTCATCTGTCAATCATTGAGATGTTGGTGATGAGAACACTAGTTTAGAGACACGTGCCACCATCTGTATCTTTTTGGTTTGTAGTAAAGAGTAGTTTATTTAGGGGGTCTTTGACGCTGAAGGTTGTTTCTTTTATTTAAATCTGGGATTTTCTTGAGAACATTGATTGTGGATTTAGGTTAGAAGATTTCTTTGTTTTTGTGAGATTGGTTTTGGTTTTGTTCCTTTCTTTGATTTGGCACAGTCTAGTTCTTTTGTCTTTTCCCCGTTCTTTTGTGAACCTAATTTATTTTTGCTTGGTTCAAAATTGTATATAAGTTGTACATTTATGAAAATAAGTATTTTGGGTTAATCTTTTGGCCTGTTTACTTCATTGTAATAAACAGACACTTTATTAGACTCAGAAGTGTTTGTGCATAATTGCTTTCCAGTATATGTTCGGTGTTTTAATGTTGCACCCCTTATTTTCCCTAGACTTAAAAGGGTTTGTAACAAATACTGATACAAACACTGATGAATGGTATACCACAAAAAATCTTCAGCTTTTGGTTTTATTGTTCTATAAAAAATTAAAAAAACTTTACATGAATTAAATCTAAAAAGTTTTTTTTTTTTTTTACACTACAGGGCAGGGGAAGAGGTAAAATGAAAACGTACGTTTCTAAGCAGTTGTACACATCTAAATGGTTTTTTTTCTTTCTTTTTTTGTTTTGTTTTGTTTTCATGTATTTATGCCCATCTGTGCTTACCATCACATAAAACCTGGCACTCTTGGTTGATTAACCCAAAAATGTCTTACTCATGGTTATCAGTTCCCAAAACATCACCACTTTAAATGCTTAACATTATTGGTATCTTCTTTGGTGTGAAGATCAGAAGATCTTGGTGGTGATCGTCACGTACTGGGTGGTTGTGCAATCTTTCTTTTAATCTGATCTTTAAAATGTTTTTATTATTGTGAACAAGAATGATCTTTTTGATGCTAAAAAAAGAATAAGTTGCTATGGCTACTTACATACCTTGAAAGTTACCTCAGTTTTTGGAAGCAACATTTTAAAAGGTTATTTGTTTACTTACGCAACATACCCGGGTAAGTTTACAGATAACCTGCTTTCTGGGATACCCCAGCCAGGATCCAACTGCAGCTTAGCATTTATTTAATAACAATAGTATCAAAGGAACACAAGATCTAGAAAAAAGAAACACAGGAAACATCACCCAGACGAGGGAACATATGCAAACTAGAAGTTAAACTAACAAAATAAAAACTCGGCACAGCCTGTGCAATGGGTTTAAATGGATCGCCCTAAGCCCCTGATCACTTGGAATCCACTATGGTGCTGATTTATCATTTACAATTTTTTTTCTTATGAATAGTTTTATGCAGCATTCTGTCTATAAGAAAAGTGGAAAGCTAGTGATCCTGAAGACCTTGATTAGCTGGTTCAGGTGTGTCAAGCTGGAGCTAAACTCCAGGAGGAGGATTAGTCACTACAATAGATAAACGGGTTCATATATACAAGTGGAGAAACTGGTAAAACAACAAAGATGGCCAGATAAAACTAGACACTTTTTTCTCTTGCAGTGTGTGCAATGTGTGCTATGTCAGTCATGTTTGTTAATTCATGCCGATATACCACCGTCTGCCTGACTCTTACAATTAAATGTTACAATTAAATTCACTCTTACAATTAAATGCTACAGTTAAATTCAATGAAGATCAGAGGAAGAGATTGGAGAGATGGAAACTCACTTTCCAAGAGCGAAGACTGTAGTTGCTATGGTGATGTTTTGTTGTCTGTAGATCGAATCAATCAGGAATGGATCAAAAGTTCCTTCCCATACAATTGGGGATAACCATGGTGTCACGGCAATAACTTTGCCATCTGGGCTGTTTTAAATGAGGAAATACACACACATGTGGATGAAATGCAAATCCAAATGCAAAGTAGTGTAAAAGAAAAAAAATCATTAATAAATAATATAAAAAGGTTAAATAAGTGTGTATGTTCTTACCCTACAACACTGGGCTGTTTGTATGAAAGCCTGTACAATAAAATAATAACAGTTGCTGTAAGATAATCAGTTGCGATGTATTGTATTTATCTCCAAAAGTCAAAACATGTTATTCCTCATTATTCTAAACTGTTTTGACCTGCCACCTACTTTTCAAAAGTCTGTTGATGATGTGTCTTACTGTGATCTGAACATGGATCTTGACATCAAAAAGCTCTCAAGGTTAAATGTCTGCAACACATCACACCCAAACTCCTTCCAGTTTTATCTGCATTCAATCGGAAAATCCAATAATAACTTTCAAAGCTCTTTATAGTCTTGTCCTTCACTACTTCAGAGTTACTCATTCCCTACACATCTTCCTACATACTTTGGCCCTCTGTAGCCACTCTTTTGGAATAGCATATAACCTTAATACGATTTGCATTTCTTCTACGTCTTTATATAGTGCCCTTCCCCTTCTTTTAGCAGCCTTGGTTCCGGATAAATTTTTCCCACACATTATATTGTCATCATTAAAGAGTTATAAGTCATAAACCAAACCAACCAGAAATGATGTGAATCACAACATTAAAAACTTTGACTGAAAGCAAAAAAGCACTGAAAATCTGACAAAAGGTACACAACTGCGTACTTTATGTTAATGAGGGTAAGAACTATAATCCAAAGAAACATTGCAAATGACAAATTAAAAATGCTGAAGAAATATAAACATATTGATTTAAAGATGCTAATTATAGATACAGGGTTTCTGCAGGATTTTTAAGCTCAAATTTAAGGCTTTTTAAGACCTTCTTTAAGACCTGCACAAATAAAATGAATACCATATGAGCGGGGTAGGGCAATGTCTATAGTAACATATTAAACTGTAAAATGACTGTAAAATGCATGATTTACAGTTCAGATACAAGTTTTCACAAAAACAAAAAGTTTTATGAAATAATACACTTCACATTACAGCCTTTAAACCATTTTTAGTGCTGTAAAATGGACAAGTCAAAAGTATTAATTATATTAATTTAAACAATTATTAACAATAAATGATTATATGAATTAAATAATATATAAATACATTTTACTGTTTAGATTTTTATAATGCATTATCTTCTTATCGATCCACCAGTTCACATTTACAACTCTGTGTGTTAGCAGGGTAAAAACATGGGTCGATTTTCACATTGGTCTGAACAAAAACAAACCCAATACTATGTTCCTGCAATACCTGAGGCTGCAGTTCCAGGACCGCAGTTCTACTAGGACGGCATTTTTTCACATTGGTCTGAACAAAAACAACCCCAATACTGTGTTCCTGCAATACCACTGCCTGCAGTTTCAGGACCGCATTTCTACTAGGACCCTTTTTTGTGACAGCGCCATCTAGCCAATTCTATTCCAACAGAGGAGATCTGATTCAAACATCAAACAAACAGATGCAAAGACTAGATCCATGGAAACTATTAATTTTTTTATCTTTCCATCTTATTTTTAATGTAAGATCTGGCGTGAACTTGAGTGTATGAGGCGATGTCAGCAATCTCCATTTAGCCTATTTAGCTGTGCAAAACAGTTCACTGTGCAGCTGGATGTTGTAAACTAGTATTTGTATTCAAATTATTTTACATTTATTAAGGTACTAATAACACACTAATTTGTATCGCAATTGTTTTACCGTTTACTCCACTTTGTTAAGTGGGTCACACATCAGACGTGAAGTGCTGCGCTGCGGCTAGAGGGAGCTGAAACTTCGAGTTGCCAAACAACAGCCAAGAAACCTTAAGGATTTAGAGAGGATCTGTAAAGAGGAGTGGATCAAAATCCCTCCTGAGATGTTTGCAAACCTGGTGACCAAGTACAAAAAACGTCTTACCTCTTTCAGATGGAGCGGCATTTACTACACAGAGCCGTAGTGCACTGACAATTAGGAATATCGAGTTCATTATCGCAGGCGATTCAATCTGCGATAATGAACGCGATATTGCTTAATTGTCCACTCACTATGGCTCAGTGTAGTAAATGTCGCTCCATCTGAAAGCAGGTGATGGAGATTTACTACTAATCACGGAACTGGCTTTACTGACGAGATGCGCCTGACAATCGCATGCGATTAATTGCACAGCCCTAATATATATATATATATATATGTAAATCCTATATATATTGAAATAAATTAGGGCTTCCACTCAAAATGGGCATTTTCAAAATGATATAATAAATTATCTGTGGGGTATTTTGAGCTGAAACTTCACAGACACATTCTGGGGATACCAGAGACTTATATTACATATTGTAAAATGGGGCATAATATGTCTCCTTTAAAAATAATAATATGCAGAATTGAATAGCAAGTGCTATAAAATAGTATGAGCTGCTAATATATACATGCAAAAAAAAAAATTTAACTATAGTGTCCTAGAAATGCGGATCCGAAACGGCAGCCTCCGGTATTGCAGGAATGCCCTACTCCAGTAAAACAGGCTTACTGAAAATGCACATTCATTCTCTGCCAGCAGAAGGTGCTTTCGGAACTGCAGTTACCGTTTCCTCGGTAACAGCAGAACACAAAGCCGCGCAGCACTGGACTCTGAAACGTGCAGCGCTCATATTCAATGAAATCATCGCCTTTTGAAGTTTAATCGTCACATTAAGCTGTATGAAATTCTGGTCTTTCCGCCCCCAAATTTAAGACCTCCTGAAATCATATTTAAGATTTTTTTGTACAATTTAAGACTTTTTAGGGCCTTAAATTTGATACAACTAAATTTAAGACTTTTTAAGACCCCGCGGAAACCCTGTAGATATAGAAACAATAAATGTACGTTTACTACAAAATATGGACATATAAACAAATGTTTAAGTAATCTGAGAGTGTAGAGAGATTATTATTATGACGATAATTATGACTATTATATTCAGGGTGTAGAGAGATTATTATTATGACTATAATTATGACTATTACGTTCACAGTGCTTCATGGAAGCGAAGAGGCACTTAGAAGTTCTTTTGGTGAGATTTGGTTGTCACGATTCTCTGATTGGTGGAGACCTGTGTGCCGAATCATGGTTAATGTAGTTTTTCACCAAAAATGTAGCTGTTACGCAAGATGTTTTAAAAAATAATTTGAAATAATACAAGCTGAAAGCTTCAACAAAAGTATATATATAATTGATTAACAGCCTCGTAGCTCACAGTAGGTCTGTCTTTAATGGTTTATAAGTCATTGTTAAAAATCAGTTCCCATATAAGGAAAAAAAAATGGGATTTTTACTTCCAGAACCCGACTCTTCATAGGGCTTAACATTCCTTAAAGAGTCATCCATTTTTGTCAGGTCTTTTTCAAGATACATCACTAAACCTCTCCCACCCTCTTTTTGTCAAATCTCCCTGTCCTCTTACAAATCTGAAAAAAAAAGAAACCTTTTTTTTTTTTTTTTTGTAAAATGTTCTTCCACTCCTATCATTTATTCTCTAACTCTCACTCCCCTAATTCCCCTTATGTTTGCTAGCATTAGTTCCTTTGTAATCTTATTCTCTTTTGTTGTTGTTGTAAAGCAACCAGTGGTTTAAAGGCCAATTCACACCGCACAGACAAACGCCAACAAACACATTTTGTTGGGTTTTGTTTGATCAGTGTGTTACCCCTGTCGGCATCTGTTGGCGTTGGTCGGGTTTGTTTTCACCCGAGTGAACATGCTCAATCAGCGTTTGTCAGTGTCTGTTGGGGCAGTGTGAATATGAAAGTTGTTTTTCATAAAATTCTAAATCCAACGGCAAACTTTGGTTTGTTGGTGTTTGTCTGTGCGGTGTGAATTGGCCTTAAGGATTTCTGCAGAAAAAAAAAGGGTTAGTTGAAATTGAACAACATGCTGTTACAATAAATATAAAAATAATTATGAGTTGAGTGTATTGTATTTCATGGTCTCTGAATAAAATCCTCTTTCCTCTTCACTGTATGTAGTAGTGACTCCTGATTTGTTTGGTTGTTTGGGATAAACAGTTTGTAAGCTTTATATTCTAATCACTGAACCAGGGGCGTAGATTA